ATGTCATGCAAGCAACGGTGATGTGGCCGACAGAGTGCTGGGATAGAAGTTAGAAGACCTCAGTTCAAATGCCTGCTTAGCCATGAAAAGTCATGGGGCGGTGGTGGGGGATGGCAGGGCTAAACCACTCCTTGAACACCTCATATACCTCCAAAATTCCACTATGGGCCACCATAGTGACTTGATGGCACATAACAGCAAATCTATGTTGTACAGTTGGAAGTGTTTAAAGTAATCTTCACATTTCTCTGTTTTTATGTTTAGTTGTTGGCGTGGCACTTTTGTGATCATATTTTCCAGTTCTTAAACCCCAGAGAAGCCATTGTTTACTCAGAGTTCTGCTCCCTTGGAAAAATTTTATCACAAGCCAGAATTTACATCCAACTATATAAAAGGCAATCAATAAAATTATGCCATCAATCCTGACTTATGGCAAACCATTTCAGGGTTTTCTAGGTAGTGAATACAAAGAAGTGGCTTATCATTCCCTTCTTCTGGGGGCATCCTGGCGCTGTGAAGTTTGCCCAAGGCTACACCAGCTGGCTTTACTCATAGGAGGCACAGTGGGGAATTGGACGTACGAGCTCTGGCTCCGCAGCCAGGTATCTATTCAGCCAGCTGAGAAAAGCAATTAGCAATTGACTGACCGACTGACTTAGTCAAACTGGGCAGGAATATGTCCAAGCAATGTATGAAGTGATGCATCAGAATACTCAATAAATGTCATCTCACCAAGGTTTATTCGTACATTTGTTTTATTTCTGTTTGTTCAAAATGACCTGTACCACAAGAATACGATGTATTTAATTAGTTATTTAACAGCTGTTTTTTTTTCAGGAGCAGATAATAGTTGAGTAGATACTGTTTATTTCACTCTTGGACTATGATGCCCTGCATAGATGACACAGGCTTTTCATCTTTTTTTTTTCCCTTTTTGGTTTTTCTTAATCATCGAGCCACAGGAGCAGGGCTGGGTTTTGGACACACGATCGGTCATAATAGCCTGTGACTATAAAGTGGAAGCTCTGAACTTTTACTGGCAGAAAGCTCGGTCACTTACATTCTTAGGTCTCTCTCCATAACTTTCTCCTGCTCTCCCTCTCTCACTTTTATTTTAGCATGATTTCAGAATATGTATTTATCAGTTCCAAATGCCTAGGTCAGTCTGATTATGAAAAGCAAAATGACACCCTTTATTTGTTATGGGCAGTACTTTTTTAATGGTTCTGCAGATTCTTCACATTTTAATTTCAAAGTAATGCCCATGTTTTCAGAGATAAAAGTGGAGTGGGTATATCTCACCATTGATCTGAATTGATTCCCATCAAACTGAGGTGGAGGTGAACAGAATTCTGTTCCCAGAGAGGAATGTAATTATATGAGCAGCAGTAGTTGCCTCCGAGGCTCATGAGAAAGGTTGCGTTTCTAAGTGGAAGACATTTACGTGTGCATGTCTATGCCAAGCTTTTGGAGGGAAAGGGTATGGTGCAGGTTACAGGAGGTAGGCGCTGAAGAGGGATGATACGACTCCCTTGACAGGGCTGGGTTCGCTAGCTTTTAAGTTTTGCTTCTAACAAAGGCACTTACCTGCGTGCCTTATCCTAAACTAATCCTGGGGTTGGCACTTAGGGAGTTGCCTTCGATATTGCCTACATCATGGAAGCAATACTTGTACAAGGATTTGCAGTTGTCAAAACCATTATTAGCCATTCACTGCCCACAAGGCTTTTGGCCTTCATAAATCCAAGATTGTGTCAATGGCTATAATGACAAAAACATGTTCTTGCACATGCACACCAATACCCTTTCAAGTTCTGCTACAATCAGTCACTGGTCTATGACATCCTCTCATCCTATAAGAACTGAAATGTATTGCCAACTTACTGCTGTGTCTTATTATTATAGCCCTCCTTTGGTGCATATCCTATAGGTTATGTTAGACTGCTTGGCTGTAGCTCCAAACGCTAAGGAATTCTACAGCTTACATTAAAAAAAGAGACCATAATGCATTTGTCACATGATGTTCAAATTCATTGAAGGTAGGCTGTCTATAGATATTTGTTTACTTTGGAGCAATGCAGCTGTAGGATTCAGTCATTTGAAAGGACTCTGAATCATGGAGAAGCAAGCACTTCAGAAAGCATCAGTACCTGTACTAGGGACCAAAAATCTAAGGTCTAAGTAGAAGGGGCACCTCACCTCCCCATCATAAGACTGGGCATCTCCCCCTTGGACCATGCTCTTCCAAGTGGTACTAAGTATGGGTAGCTATTTTGTCCAGTTGGTAGAGAGGTTGATAAAAACTTGGCAAAATTCTAGTTCTTAAAAAAACAAACAAAAAACCCAAGCTGTATGGAAAGAACTTGATATTAAGAAAGCCTGAAAGTGAAAGAAAGCAAAACTAACAGATTCACCCATCCAAGCAGAGATTTTGGAGTGCTTAGCACTGAAAAGACTGAAGTCCAGCCCCTTTGTATACAAACACATCTGTAATGCTCAACTAGAGTTGCCATCTCTGCTAGCTGAAGAATACTGGGAGTTGTTCTCAAAAATATATTTTCCAAGGTCCTATCTGCCACTAAGCTTTGGTCACTCCCTTCCTCTATGTGTGATTGCCGTCTTCGAGAACAATGAGGATCACCATTGGATCACCATTGGTAGAATTAAGGGCAGAGGTCTTATAAGTCAGCTATTTTGGAAACAATCAGAATAATGGGGAAGGACACCCATTCTTATCCTCTGCGCGGAATTGCAATGCGAGAGCCGAAAACTTTGAGCAGCCCCGCTCTCACCACTCTGCCGCAGGCACAGAACAAGTTAAGCAGCCTTGATCAACTGCTTGTCACTGAAAAACAAAACGGCCATTAACTGTTTTGTATATTTGTTTTGTACACATTTTGGCTTCCTAAATAGAAACCAACAGTGCAAATTGCTAAATCCAGAGGTGGCTACACAGAACTATAGAGCATTCTTCATCCCTCTTTCAAAACCATAGAGAACCACTGTAGATTTTTGGATGATTCTGCCTTTTCTCTTTCCTCTTCATGAAGAAAAGAGTCCATTGGCCACCATGTGGACAAAACTGTCTAAGAGCACACAGGACAAGTCTCCTGTTCTAATTGCCCCTGGGAAGGAGATGGAAAGAGTATGTACAGCACCCACTTTGGAACTGCATTTTTACCACCCATGCTTTCAATTCTTGTTTAAGCTGATTCTCCTTTAACATGTTGTTTGATTATTCCTCTTCTATGTAAAATTCACTGGTTTGGTTATTGGGGCATAATGCTGCCTCTGCCAGGGGCATCACACCGTAACATAAGGGGAGGGGGGTCTTGCCCCAGTCTTTGCTGTCTCTGCTTCAATGGATTTAACTCGTTGCTGAAATCCAGGAGAACCACAAAAACACACATAAGCTTACAGACACACCCACACTTCATAGGTTTTCAGTTCAGACCTCTGGCATAAGTCATTTGTTCCTGCTCTGGCATTTCCTGGATGGGAAGGAGGACACAGGGAAAAAGCAGGGGTCAGAAAGAAAGAGAACCACAGCATCCCACTGCTGCTGGCTTTGATCCCATGGCAGGACTAGCAAGCAGGCCCAGCCGGTGACCTCTGAGAGAATGGGCCCTCAGCAGAAAGAAGATTCTTTACCGCACCTTACACAATTGGCATGGGATGGATTCAAGCAAATGGCCTAAAACAGAGATGGGAATAAAACAGGAGGTATTACGAAAGCAAGGATTAAATATCTTCCTCAAAGGATTTTGGTTTATTTCTCCTAATATGGCACAAGCCCAAAAGCCTTCTGAGGTTTCTTTCCCCCCTCTATCCCTCAAGGAACACAACCAATTATTAGCACGCAAAGACCAACAGCCACGTGATGAAAGACACAGGTGGGAAATACCCTATTTTGGGAATATTCTTCACGTTGGCCTGCTCTATTTGGATGGATTCCTGTAGCCCTGAAGTGGGAGAGAAAGTAAGGAGGTAGAGGGGTTTTAAATAGCACCACACAAAAGAGGAGGAAGGGATGATTGAGTCAACACAACGGCCTTTCCCAATCTGGGGCCTACAAGATGTGTTGAAACATAGCTCCCATAACTTCCAGTTAGTATGGCTGGCTGGCAGATTATGGGAATTGTCGTTCAACACTCTGAAGAGCACCAGATTGTGAAAGCATTAACACAGAGCCTTGAGACAAAAAAAAAGTGCTAGACAGCTTCTCTCTACATGAGATTTTCCTCATGTCTTCAGTTTCTTCCATGTCTCCTGCTTCTATAGCAACCGCTATTGGGAATGTTATGATTGCACATGAATGGGGAAAGGACACAACTTTAGGGTCACAAAATATCTTACATAGTTAGGCCTTTCTTTCCCCAAAAGAAATAGTAGGGTTGGTATGTACATATTTTACGAGGAGTTTGAACCTAGGAGATTTTTTTTTAGACTTATGAGGTTCCTGTGATGTTTCTCTCCAAACAAACAACTTGGACCTGGTGCTTGGAAACAAAGCAAATAATAATTATAATTTTTCCCCTCATCTCCTTTCACGCCACATTATGAATCTTATCCACTCTTATTTTTCACCCTTCTCTGCTTCAAGTCCCCACATTTCTTCTCTGGAAGGTAAAGAGAGAGAGAGAGAGGAATGAGCTGCCCCGGGTCGTTCAGAGAGCTGCTTGAGGGATAAGTGGGGGCTCCAAAATCTCCCTTAGTTCCCTTGGCAAGTGCAAGAGCTTGTTCTACGTTTACCCGCAAAGAAAGAAAAAAAGAAGAAGAAGAGTGATGCTGATTTAAAAGAGTTTTCCTCTCTGTACACAATAATCTTCAGAGGGAGGTACAGGCTGGCGGGCTGCCAGGTGGACGTTAATAAATAATTCTTCCCCATAATAAATGGTTGGAGATCCAAGCCCGCTGCCACCTTGGTTTTGGTCTGTTCCACAGCCACATCTCCATTTTACAGCATTGCTTCGCGAGTGCTGCAGGTGGGGCTGGGCCTGTCAGACTTTGGCCTCCAGCATTTCTAGGAACAGTTTGTGCATGGGGACCTTGCCCTGAAGTTTGATGCTGTAGAAATGCTGCACGGCCTTGGCGGCTGTTTGCCGCAGGAGGGGCAAGGTCAGCAGCAGCTTGCCTGCCCGCCGTGGCTCCTCATGGCGCTGGCTCAGCTCGTAGTCCTGAAGAGCTTCATGGAGAAGGTCTTGGAGTTTCTGCACTGCCTCCATGTCCTCTATGTGCATGGAATCTGTCAAGTGGAAGGGGGGGGGGAGAGATGAGAAGCAGAATTAGGCAAATGGTCAGGGAAAGGCCAAGGCTGCTTTGGCTGGAGAACTAAGAGTCAAATTAAACACTAAGAGGCAAGCATATTGCCTCTGATTAGCCTGATTTCCCTGAGGATAATAGGATTCCCTAAGATGCATGCCTCAGCATAAGACTTCCAAGTTAAGCCTGTGCTTGCTTTCCAGTCAGTAATCACAAAACAGAGCACACTAAATGCAAGATATATTCACAAGCAACATAATTTTTTATGACAAATTGAAGCCTTTCACCACTTGGGGGAGCATCTCTCTAATAAACATAATAAATGTATTGTGACGTTTGACCCTGACGTTTTCTACAATGTGTTTTTCAGGTGCTTTCTGTTTAAGAACAAAATTGGCACTGTGGCAGGAAAGAATATCTTGTATTATTTTAGCCTCATTATTCATTTTCACATTCAGTGGTTACTTTCCCTGACTAATTTCTATACAATGAAGATATACAGCACACGGTTACAAGAAACAGCACAGACTGAAAGGGACTCCCAGAGACAGCCTAAAAGAAGTAGTTCTGTCATCAGTGTTCCATCAGTGTTCCTGCCTTTTCTCTCTTGCGCACAGGATAATGGGATGCTGATAGTAAATTTGGCAGCTGGCTTCTTTCTTTCTTTCTTTTTTTAAAGTAAGCTAATGTTGTGGGAATAATTTTCATGCAATCCATTTGTGAACTGTTATCAATAGCATTGATAAACGGTTAATTACAAAATCAATGACTATGTTTTCTTACAGCTGTCACAAGGATCAAGGCGTGGGGTCAGAAGGCAGAGACGCTATGAAGCTGAGTCCAGATTGGGTCCCAGAGGCTATATGAGTATAGCGAAGTACGAGAGTTTCCTTCCAAACGAAGGATTGCTTTCTGCACAAAGGCTATGCGTTGGAAGACCAAAGAAGGTTGAACCCAAGAGTATGCGAGTGACACTCTGTCTCAGTAAATATTCCAGACCTTTTACTTTTTGTACAACACGTAGCAAACTACTCTTTTTCTATTAATCAGGAATCTTAAAAAATGGGGAAAAGCACAAGTGAAATTCATATGTCTAGATCTCTGATGCCTGGGAAGAAAAGCAAAGCAAAGCGTGCTGCTTATATACCGCCCCATAGCGCTTCAAGCACTCTCTGGACAGTTTACAATTTAATTATG